CTGGGGTCCTCTATTCCTAGTGTCTCAATTTTAAGGAAATCTGCAACTTTGTTGTGGACCTCAAGATCCTTTGCACGAGTATAACTATACCATTCACTGTCATCAAATAAAAAGCTGTCAAGGAAGTGACCTGCTGCAAGACACTGTGAAGCTGTTTGGGATTCATTGGTACTGTCAGTGGTTGGAAGGAGTCTTCCAGAAATTAGATATCCCAGACTAGACGCTTGAGCAGTAGGGTAGCCATAGATGACATCAGGTTTCAGGAACTGCCACACTGCATCCAGACCAATAAGAATTTGAACAGGAAATTGGGTCTGACTGAAGTCATCTGCAAGCTAAAGGCTGGTGATGTGAGGAGATTTGAGGCTATCGGCCCAGCTGGTGCGATCAATCGGAGTGATGATAACATCTTCGATGAGAGTGTCTACACTGATTGCTCCCTCATCTGTCATGATGTTGACTGATCCTACTGGGTACATATTATTGGAAATAGCCCCACCAAATGTGTTAATACGCACAGTCTTGCTGCAGTGAGGTTTAATGCAGAGTTCCTTAGCTAACTGTGTGGTGATGTATGAAAGAGACGATCCTTCATCAATAAATATGTTTGCTGATTTAGTGATTTCACCATTATTGATTGAAGTGACAGCAGTTTTCAGAATAATTGGGTTAGACTGACTGTGGCACGAAGTCACGGTGTTGTACTCTGAAGGGCATGAGTACAAAGTCTCATTTGGATTGAGCCCATGCTCAGAGTTGTGGTTGGCAAAGCTTGATGGGAGGGTGGGAGTGATGCTTGGGTCACCATGCAGTGTGTTTGCTGAAGCAGGTGTGTCATGCATACTGATTGATTCAGGAGGGGAAGTCAGTGACGATTGAAGACCTGAAGCTCCGGGAAGTATAGTATGATGAGGTTGCCGACAAACTGAACATCTGAACTGCGATTGACACTGAGTAGTAGCATGACCCCCTTTGAGACAGTTGAAGCACAACTGCTTGGATTTAACTGCAGAGATTCTATCCTGGATAGAAAGTTCCCATTGAAATGTATTGTGGGTACTGGTAGACCCACAGAAGCGACATGGAACTTTCTTTGGCCTGTTAAACTGTTTAACCTTCTTTGATTTATACTGATTAGAAGGGGTTGCTACTGCAGGAAGTGCGGTGGCTGTACCCAGTGGAACTGCTGCATTCAAGAAACCATTGATAGGAGAAACCTTGGGCAATGGAGGCTTTTGAAGAAGGTGGAGCTTTTGGAGGAGATGGAGGTTTGGGTTTGCATGGTTGGTTGTTATTACTAATATAGACAACTTGCTCAAGCCTTTTAACTTCATTGTGTATCATCAGAATTAGTTGGTCAATGGTGGGATTGGCACATGGATATTCTTTC